GTTGCGACACAAGTATCTGGCCTTCTTGTCGGGGCTGCCTGCTCTCTATTATGTGGCCCTCTCCGTGGCCATGAGCCCCGCAAGCGCTCCCCAAGATGAAACCGCGAACACGAAGCCCAACCCAGCCAAGACAGCCGCAATCCCAACCACCCCTGCAGAGCCGTGCCTAGGCCCTGAGCCACCCTTCCAAGGTGCCGAGGAGACCAGTGAGGACACTGCCGACGAGTTCCAGGACGATGTGCAGGTGGAAGAAACGGTGGAGACGGTGGAGACCGTGCCTCTGGAAGACCAGTCAGAGCCACCGAGCCCCATCTTGACCAAACTCAATTTCCACCTCAGAAAGAAGCTCCTGGAGATAAGGCTGGGAATTCCCGCACAGGCAAGGGAATCCAGGGAACATGCCGGAGCAGGCTGGGACAATGTAGCCACGCAGGAGTTCCACGACCAAAGGACATTGGACCCTAGGGGCCACACGTTGCTGCAGGAGCTCCCCCTCCCTCCAGGCAGTCCTGGAACCCCAGATGCAGAATGGCTCAGCCTTCAAGGACAGCTGGCCTTCCGGTTAAAGGCAGTGCAGCAGAACCAGTCACAGCCTAGTTCCAGAGCGTCATCCACCGGCTCTGCCCACTGGGCCTCCAAGGTCGCAGCACCCAGTGAGGACATGACCAAGGCCCAGGTGCTCTGTGTGCAGCTGGAGGCCAGCGCCAGCAGCAGCAGCCTGGAGGAGTCCTGGGGCCCTGAGCACCACAGTCTTGGCAAGGTCAGGGCCTCGGCCCCAGCTCCAGAGGGGGCAGAACAAAGAGACAAGCCAGGGAAGCCCAAGTCAGTGGCTGGGGATCACGGGGAAGGGGATGCGGGCTTTGCACTCTCCTCAGCTAGAGAAGAAAGCCCCCACGCTGAGGCCCAGAGTCCAGCAAGGACGCTTCTGAGCAGGACACACAGCGGCCTCTGGCGACGGAGCCATCGCTTTCACCTCGATGCTTCCTGTCCACAAGGTCCCCAGCATTGCCCTCAGCTTCGACTCCCAGGACAACCTCCCAGACTTCCTGGGGGCAAGGAACCTGAGAAGGACCACCCGCAACACGGTCAAACCAAGCAAGCCAAGGCCAGTGTCACCCTACAGCCAGCAAGGATGCCTCAGAGTGCCCAGCCTGCGCTGCCCCGGGCGTCGCTCCTCCGGGGTAAGCGTCTGCCTGCCCAAACTAGGCAAGGTCAGGTTTTACAGGGCCAGCTGTTGCCCATCCATAGCCGCAAGAGGCCCAGCCTCCCAGAATCTGGCCTGAGAAATATGATCAAGTCTTTTCTGCACTGTATTAATGCCAAGCCAAAAGCCAAAGGGCATGCATACTCCATGCTCTCTACAGCACAGATAGTGGCCAAAGCCAGAAAAGAGAAAGCTGAAAAGAGCCTGGCTCTAGCCAAAGGCTCCTTGGGACAAAGTAAGACAGAGAGAATAACAGGGGGCCCCAAGGCCTCATCTCCCCCCACTGAGCAGGTGGGCGTGGTCTTCTCGGTTGACCCCAGTTCTGCCCCTAACAAACTCCGGCACCGCTTCCGAACCCACTCCCGTATAACCCCCTTGGCCTCTGTCCTGGGCCTCCCCCGATACTGCCCTCGGCACTGTCCCCAAGGAGTTAATGCCACCCAACCGGGGAACCCACCCTAAGTCTCCTCTCACTTCAGAGGGTGACGCTGGTCTGCTCAGGAAGACCCAGCCAAGTCAAGAGCTGGAGGCTCCCCACAAGGGTGCTGTGTCCCTGGGAGAGGACGCCACTGTCATTTTCATTAATGTGTGAGTGGGGCAGACCTGCTCCACCGCAAATACACTCTATTCTCTAAGTACAGTGTTGTCTGTCTGCTCCTTCTCTCCACTATGCTAAGTTATGGGAAGCAAGGAAGAAGCTAAAATGTCCTCTCAATCCAAGAGAGGAGGTCTAACCCCCACTTAAGCTGATCAACTGCCAACTCCTTCTCCAGCCCCATGCTGCTGCTTGTGGGCAACCCCCTCCAAAATGCATTCTATCCACACATGCCCTCACACACAAACTACATGTGTTTTTCCTACAGACCTGTTTTGTGTGGCCTCTCAATTATTGTCATTAACTTGCTGATAAATTCCTAGAGCTCCTTTCTGCTTCCTGTTCATTTGCACTGTTCTCCTCTTCCACAACATCACTGACTAGGAATATACCACCAACAGCAGCTTGTGTAGCTCTGGCCATAGAATGGGTCACTTAACAGTAGCCATCAACTCATATTCCCTTGACCTGAGAAGGCACCTTCTCCTGTTACTGAGGTTGAGGGTCGACATTATTCTCCTGGAAACAGCACCAGAACACCAAGCCCTTAAAAAGACTATGGCATGACAGTATTTAGTAAAGTTCTGCTTATTCTACTGAGTATAATGTGAATAATGAGTAAAATACCTGGGTCATCCCTTTCCTGTTGGTTTGAAACTACTCCCTGAAGTGGCCAGAGTATGATTTGACAAAGATAATAAACATGAACAAAAAGTGGAAAGTTACAACACAATGAAACATTGCAAAATCTTTGAGTATGTGTTTTTACAAATTTCAGGCTAAATGTGTGACCCTTGGACAGGGTGCAGATGTTAGGGTCAAAATCACAAGAATGGAATTGAATAAATCCATGAGAGATAGAATCCTAACTTTAACATATGACAAATTACTTAACATTTCTGAGTCCCAGTTTCTAATCTGAGGAAGGGGGACAACTACAGCCATACACTAAAACTTCGATTATTATGAAGTCATTTGTTATTCCCAAAGTCACGTCTCTGCTCTAGGCTTTCCCTCAGCTCCAACTGTATAGGCAATAGCCAGAGAAAATTGTATTTTGCTTCAAAGACAATGCATATTAATTCAAAGATTTCAAACACACTCCATGGCACTAAACTCTTTTCCAGTGTCAGGGAGTAACACCACTATATATCCACACTGTTGCTCAGGCCATTTAGCAAGGCAGTCATTGGGTTGTAATTTTAGCATGTCTCAGCTTGGCCTCCTTTCCTCTATTTTACTGTGTCTGCTTACAGTTCATAATTCTTTCTTTCCTAAATAGCTACTATAGTTCCTCATGTTCCACGGGCTTATGATAATGGCTAGTACATAGTAATACTGTAAGAGTACTTTAATCCAAAATATAGAAAGAGGAAGAATAAATCATTACATCAGTGTGATGAGTTCTGTGGCCTATGGGGACCTGTCACAGGAGGAAGCATTCAGCTGATGATAAAGATCCTAGAGTCTTTATCAGAAAAGTCACAAAAAAGACCTTGAGCAGGACTCTAAACATTTAAAATATGAGTGCTAACTATGTGCCAGGAAATGTGCCAGACACAATAATCAACAAAGTATAGGCTCTGCCTCCAATGATATCATGATCTTATGGGGTTGACAGTTTTACAAAGCCAAATAGTCTAATCACACGTACACCTAGAAGTCCATGTTCATCTCAAAAGTAAACTACTGGTTCCCTGCTCCCTCAGCACCTGCCAATCACACATACCAAGCCTGCTAGAATTACAGTAACTGATACAGTAACTCTCGTATCAGTCGTTTAGGCCAAAATGTCATCCTTGACATTTTATCTCTGACAGTCCATATCCAACCCATCAGAAAGTCCTATTTCTTTACCATCAAAATGAATTCAGAACAAGAGCACTTCTCACTCCCTTTGCTGCTTTCTCCCAGATTCTTTCTAAGACCATACCTCCAACAGTTTATTCTCAGCATGTAAGCCTGGTTGTCCTCAAGGAGGGTCCTGGCTGGAGGAGATGAAGGGATGCATGGATGGATAGATGGATGGATGGGTTGATATATATAAAAACAATGAAACAAGTTTAAAAATAATGAATATAAACAAAAGATCTAGGCACTACCTCGCACCATACCAAAAATCAACTCAAAGTAGATTAGAGACTTAGTCATAACAACAGAAACCGTAAAATACTTGGAAGCAAAGATGGGCCAAGCACTACACGACATACACTTCAGCTGCATCTTTAAAGATAGAGCACCCAATACAACAATAGTGAAGGCAAGGATAAATAGATGGGACTACATC